ACATTATCACAGGGAATGGATAAAAATCCGTCAAATTCTCGCAGAAACTGTATGCTGTGGTCGACTGGGTGAAGACAACTACCTCCCGCAGATAGGCGCCGCAATGTAGAAGTTGGAAGCTCTACTAAGGTTTGTGAATCAGTTATATCCTTCTTGCTCATTTATAAAGCTTATAGTGAATTATTAAGATTTATCCCATTATTTTCTCCTTTCCTCTGTTGGTTGTAGTAGCATGAATCCATCTAATTTGCTTAAAAAAAATCTTATTATTTTCTTACTCAAAACAGCCAAATCATCTTCGTTGAGAAACCTACAGCAGATATCAGATTCTTAACATCCACCAAGCTGCTCGAGGCCACCTTGCCTTGGGAGAGTACTTTCAGTGTCTTCGAGCTTTAAGTTCACTTTGGTCGAGGTCTTCATAACCTGCTTACTTACACCAACCCTTGTTGCATCTCTTATAACATAGTAAGGAGAATTGAACAAAGCGCAAACTGTTCTCACAAAGAAAAAGAAGTTAAAATATTGTTCTACCAAATATGTACTTAATAATATTATGTTCACATTTGCAAGGCACTATAGTGCATGTTGTGATCCTTAGTCAAAGTTCAGTGAGTGTTCTTTTATTGAGAAGCAATAAAAGTTGGGGAAGCAAATACCTATGTTCATTTACTGCATTTCATGTCTTTCATATGCTGTTCCTGTTCTTCATTTACTTGGAGAAATCCGAGCGTATGGAGGCCGAATAAGTGGGTAACTTAGTGCCTAGCAGGCGAAAAATTACTGCCGGAAAAAGTTCGCACCCAATCTATGTTCAATGTAGTATACATATCAACTTATACTCACAAATTATAAAGAAAAGCTAAATCGCACGACACTTGACTATACATAACAAACTAAAACAATATATATAACTCCATCTGCATCTACATGGAATTTTTTGATTTCCACCTAGCTTTCTATTGAAAATGCTCATGTATTCCAGTAAGATATCTGTTCTCCAGCACAAAAGAGCAACGAGAAAGTGAGAATAAACATTATGAAAAAAAATGCAAAATTTTGAATGCCATACAAGAAGAAAGCTTAAACAACCAATACCAAAGAAATGAACAAGTTAATATTGTTGTGGACAAATAAAAGAATACTGACTATTTAATAGGACATTAATAATGTAACATCTCAATGTCTTCGATCATTTTACAAATCAAAATCAAGTTTAAAAGAAAGAAGATTGGCACAAGAGGAAAGTTAGCATGACAACATAAAACATATTAATGTTACAAGTACTACAACATATTCCAAGATACCACCACATCAATTCCATCATCTAAAGATCCATCTTTGGATTAGTAGCATGTTCTCGGATGCATATGTTTGAGACTAAAATTAGCATGTTCAAAAACATTCATACATATGATCTCGAAACATTTGTACATGTGGCAAAAGAACGGAGGAAACTCATAAGGGGCAAAGTGAACGCAGAGGCTTGAGTTCATATCTAAATAACGAAAAACATTAAGCTCAGGTTTGGTGGGGNGAGGAAACTCATAAGGGGCAAAGTGAGCACAGAGGCTTGAGTTCATATCTAAATAAAGAAAAACATTAAGCTCAGGTTTGGTGGGGATCAAAATCAAATTTTTAATGAATTTTGATAGAAGTAGGAGAAATGTATGGTTGAAAAGTTGTGGGACCATAAAATAAGTGGTTGAAATGAATTGTTGACTTTGACTTAGATTAAAATCTAAATATCAAACGGGCTATACTTACTAAGTATCCTTCCAACAAATTGAGGTCGGCTAGGTAGAGCCCTTAAGAGTCATGCTCAAAGGTAGTTAGTGAAGCAAGGAGAGGGGGGAGGGGCACTACATTTAACTAATAGTATAGAGAATGCACTGATTGGACCTAAGGTTGTAGGCAAGAGGATCAGTCGGTAGCCAAGGGCTAAGCCGAAGTCAACTACATGGATCCTTTTACACGTTCGGTTCAATTCCAGATCTATTGGAAGATTTAAGCAACTACAACATGCCAAATTAGTTATGGTCTACCCTTCCCTAATCTCAACTACATGAATTTGTTTTTAATCATTTTTATTTCAAGAATTAGAAATTCAAAAACTAAAAGTTCCAACTTGAAGAAATTTAAATTAAAACTTAGCCTATATACATCTGCTCAAGAATGTAAACACAAGAATCTCAAGTATCTCGTCAAACTTGTCAAGTTGTCTAATTTAATTATTTTTAGATCCAACTCGAAGAGATGTTACACAGGAGATATTGATGAACTCAGAGATATTGACAACTCATTGCAAGAAATTTCTTTCGAGTGGCAAAGACAGATGATCAGAAGCTTGATGATTTGCTTCTCATTGTCATTCTTGTTATAAACTTGATTAAACAAGAATATCAAGAGAATATCCACAGAACGCCCCAATTTCTTCTGAAATCATCTGATCTTTACAATACAGCATGAGTACGACCATATATTGGTATTTCTGAAATGTCTCTAAGTTATAGTATACACACAAGCACGTGCATGTGCTAACACAAGAAAGTCCAGTTACTTTTTATTGACAGACAAAAGGTATTCCAGTCAGTTAATCTCGCCAAATTTCTGATATTATTTAAGATGAATTCTGAGCCAGGTTCAAATAGCTTTTGTCAAAAGACTTTCCTTGTTAACATTCATTGTACAAGTTGACTTCCAATTCAGTATGATGATTCTGAATTATCCTATCATATTATCTTTGATTCAAGAGTTAGTGACCTATACATAAACTACATTGTCATTACCAGGAACACAAACAGAAAGATAACAAAATAAATCCCAGGTGAAGAAACTTAAGAGAGAGATGAAATTCTTGGAACCAATAAAAAGGGTGCTTTCAAAACTCTAATAACAAAGAGAAGAAAAGGAGATTTTGTTCTTTATTTTGAAAGGAAAGTGGAAGGGATAATTGGAAATTTAAGTTGGAGTTAAAAAATTACTCTTCCATCCTCCACAAATGCACCTTAAGTGCTGTGGCTTTAGTGATGATGGATCACTTGGAAAAAAGCTAGACAGTATATACATACCATAAGGATTGGGAACCAAATTGAGCGAGTAGTCTGTAAGATAGTATTGGATCGACCAAGAGTGGCTTTCACAGGGAAAGCTGTTCTCAGACCTCAGCATAGACACAGATAGATAAAAAGACATATGAGATCCATCCAGACATCACTATGCCTTTGAACAGTCTGTCTGTCTGCTGACTTTTGGTTTTCAGGTGAAGACCCAATGGCACCCAAAGCATCGAGGAAAAACCTTTTGTTCGGGATAATGCCATCTCTGTCCATACACGTCAACAATTTCTGTAGTAGTTCCTTCATGTCAGCTTTAGTATAGGCTTTGTAAAGAAGTTTGTAAGTGGAGGAATCGATGGGAAACAGTCTTGAAGTATGTG